AAACTATAATTAGTCAGAGGTCTATGTTGTGTATTAGGCAGGTTTATTTTTCTAGTTTACAACTTGTTGGGTATTGAAATAATATATTGAAATAAAAATATATTATTTTAATATAGTGCTGATTTCAAAAATAATTTTTTTAAAAAAAATTATTTCAATATATTTTTAAGTGAAAACATTTTAAAAAACAATAACTAGAAAAATAACTATATTAAAATAATATGTTTAAAATACAAAAACAAATAAACTCTTAGCATATAACATATCTAGGTCTTAATATCAAACTATTCAAGAAAAAAATAAATATCTTGATAAAAAAAACTAAAGAAATAAAAATTAAAGACAATAAAAAAGGCATTTGAGGTAGATATATTTGATATTATAATATTTTTTATTATTGTGTTTAAAAATATTTACAAAATATATAAATTTTAAATTTTACCGGATTCTGAAATGAAAAAAATATTTAAATAATGAAAATTAAACATTAAAAACAATCATCATGTCACAATGTTAAATCAATTATATATTTGAATGGGAGTTGTAATTTTTTTTTTTTAATACATAATTTTTTCAAATACAAACCGCACCTTCTAAAAAAACATACATGTTTTTTATTAAAAAACTACCACACTTTCGATCCCGACAGACCGCAGGACTTCAAAGTCCAAACTAGACCATCTCATCCTATTCAGTTCCCTTTGTAACCTTTTCAGTTATAGTAAATGTTTATGAAATGTAAAACTATGAAATAAAAAATAACTTCCATAATTCTAAGTCTTTAACTTATATTAAAAACGTTCACAGGGATTACTATTCTCTCCTAATAAATCGAATCTAGTAATGTCCCATCCATGAAAAAAAAATTACCTTTTATTTTCTGTTTCGTTTGCAAATATTACTCGACCATACCATGCTTCGTGTAGTGCAACACGTGCTCTAATTTAATCGACCAATTAAAATCGTAAATTATTATTATTATTATTATAAATGCTATAATTTTTTTATACCACTTCAATCTATGTTTACATTACTACTGTTAAACTTTATTTATATGATAGATTAAACTGATGACACGCAAATCTTGTTTTTAACTTAGTTTATGTTTGAAATTTAAAGGCCAAGTTTATCTAATATAACTAAATTGATACAATAGATCAACTATGATTAGAATTTTAATTTTTTTTATTAACAATTATTATTTTTTAATTTTAAAAAATATTATTTTAAATTCATTCAAGTTACTTTATAAACCCATGCCTCATACTGGATTTAATAATTTTGTATTTATTCAAATAACTCCCTAATAAATTTTTCATGCATCAATAGCTTATGAAAAATCTACCCAGCAATAAAAAAACTTAAAAATAAGATTTTGTGTTATTAAATCTTTATCTTATTGTAAAATCAATTAATAAATCATATTAATTTAATAACTTATGTGTTTTTTTAAATATTTTTTATTATTTTTAAAAAATTCTAGCACTGTCTCCTCACAATTTGAATTCAAACTATATTAATTTATATTCTATATTTTCATAAAAATATAATATAAGTTCCACTTTTAAAGTTCACCAATTTTCTATAATTTTAGAGAGTCACGACCATAAAACGCAAGAAAGAGACAACACTCAGGTGTAAAGGACCCACAAACTTAACCTTTCCTTTTTGTATTTTCTCGAGAAATTTCTCTCTCCTTACCCCTTGTCTCTCTCCCTCTCTACACGCTCCCCTCTCTCACCGGCTTTAATTTGAAAATTCTCTCTTCATTTCCATCTCTGTATATTTAGGCGCATTCCGTGCATTTATTGCCTTTTATCTTTCAATAGAGGGTTCCCTCCTCCCTTATCTCTGGATCTCTTTTAAAGGGCTACTCGGATCTTGAATGGTCTCTTTAGTGGGGTTTCGATTGCAACCAAACTGTGCCAAGGTAACTGCTTTTTTGCAAGTTAATCTAGTTGTTGAGCATGTTATTAGATTTCCTATCTGGGTTTTGATTTTTTGTTGATTGATTTGGTTCTTGTAGTATTTGGAGTCATAAAGTCTGCTTCTTTTTTGATGTCGAATCTCTTTTTGGAATATTCTAGATCTATTTTTGTCCTTTAGATTTGCATGTGTGTGTGTTTTTTTTTCGTTTTTTTTTGGCATTTGATGATTCTTCCTTTTGTTTTATTTGATCTACTTAGTGGTTATGATGTAGTCTTGAGGAAATGTATACCGTTATCTCTCATGTCAAGTACAGTTTTTGCTTGAGTGGATATTATTTTTCAGTCTCCTTTTATAGTTCTCTACTTGGCAAAGTTTTTACTGGAAATGGTCTTGCTGTGGTGATTTTTTTTTGTCCGGTGTGTAATGCTGGGAGCGCGATTAGGAACTTATGGTGTCACACTGTGGTAATGATTGTAATGTGGTAATTCCGGTGTGCAAACCTGATGTTGCTTTTTTGAAATGCATGCATTCGTGTTTTATATATGATGACTAGTTAGGTTACGGGGAATAAATTCCTTAATCTGGGAAGGTGAGAGTAACTGAGTAATTTGTGTTGCACATCTTCAATTCCATGCTCTTTATGGTCTATAAGGGCGTTTCTTTAGATTCACATGAGTGGATGAATCATATGATGACTGGTTAGGTTATGAGCCTTGTTTTTGGGAGCTATGTTGCCATCTCTGTGATCTTTATATAGGGCCTCACTTGGTTGCTTTGAGTGAGTGAACTGATTGATCTTTATAATTTGTCTTGCTCATCACCTGTCATGAATTGCTCGTTTTTCCTGTGTTAATTGTGGTACATATTGTTGCCTTCTATTCCTAACTTTTTATTTAATGATTTTGATAGATCGAGGAGCCATAAATTGTCAATACACTGAAAGGATTAAGTGAAGGAGATAAAGGACAGAACAAGATTTGGTGGTAAGACTAAGAGTTTCTTGTCAGTGGCAGTGTATGCTAGTTCCTGTTAAAAGCCAGTTGTTTTTTTATATATTTTTTCAGTGACATTAATTTACTTCAACATGAACACTGACGTTGTTATGGCTGGTAGAATATCTTCTAATATGTGCTTGATATGTATTTAGATTTGACCTAGACTTAACAAAAATAAATGACTGATCATAATAGCATATGAGATTGCTAACTGGTATCACACTAAGCTGTCTGTTTCTTCATGAAACTTGTTGGTTCTGCCAATGCGGGCCAATTACTTTTCCTTGCTGTTTTCTTAATTGCTTTTCGTTCTTTCTCTTGTTTGTCTTGGAAAGTTAATGCATGAATTGGACTTCTTAGTTGGGATAATTAAAGTAACAAACCTTCCTTTTAGGGTCTACAAGCTGCTGCTCTTGATCTGTTTTTAAATACAGTTAACTTTGTGTGTCTTCCATATCTGAGCGTGGGATTCGTTGAAATATAAATTTTACCATATTCCTTAAACTATCCACCTTTTAAGTTATGAACTAAACTGGACACGGGGAAAATGAAAATGCTTTTAATTTTGCAAGGAAAATGCTTTTAAATTATCCACCTATGGTATTGTTGTTGGGACATTATTGTCATGAAATTGAGTAAATTGTTATATGTTGATCTGTAAGTAGAAGCCTGTAAATTAATAACAGTCCTGAGTATCTTTCATAAATGAAAGTTTTTGTCAGATTCTGGAATCCCTTATCAAATATCTTTTAAAATAGACATACAAAAGCTAACTGTGGTTGCATCCACATAAATAATAGATTTTTTCCCACTTTGCATCACTGTGATATGTTTAACATACTGATGTAATAAGGTTCCTCATTTTTGTGTTTTTCTTCTGGCGTGTCTGCTTTGGGAGTCAGGGGAAGTTTTTTTTTCTTCTCTTTTTTTTAGAGAAAATCCTCCTTGTTGAATTTGCCATTTTGACTTGATTGATTTATTGACAACATATACGTCAAACTTGTCTCCTTCTTTTCATGTATGTCATTTTTGCTTGAGTATAATTAATTATGTTAGCATTTATGGAGTTGGAAACTGACTTCTTGTTTGTTTTTTCTCATAGGTTGACCATACTACCATGGCATCAAGCAATCTGTTTTTTGATGACATCCGAAATAAACCTGAGGTTATTGATCCTCCTCAAAATGAAGACTTGACAGATATTGGTGAAAGTGTAAATGATCCTGCTCAGACAGCTCTAAAACCTAACGTGACTGTGTCTAGCAGTGTTCGTGAATTACTGGAGTGTCCTGTGTGCTTAAATGCCATGTATCCTCCAATTCACCAGGTTTGTTTTATGCCTTTCCCCCCATTCTTGATAACCTTATGAAATTCTATTCCTGCGGAATTCTTATTAGGCTTCTACCTTTTGATATCCCCCCTCCGGTTAAGAAGTCCAGCTTGCATGTTGGTCATCTGATTGGTGTTCTCTTTTGTTGCAGTGTTCAAATGGTCACACATTATGTTCTGGTTGCAAGCCCAGGGTTCAAAACCGATGCCCCACTTGCAGGCACGAACTCGGCAACATTAGATGTCTTGCACTAGAGAAAGTTGCTGCATCTCTTGAACTTCCATGTAAATATCAGAGTTTTGGGTGCATAGGCATATACCCTTATTACAGCAAGCTAAAACATGAATCCCAATGTGTTTTTAGACCATATAACTGCCCATATGCTGGATCAGAATGCACAGTTATTGGTGATATTCCTTATCTGGTGGCCCATTTGAAAGACGATCACAAAGTTGACATGCATAATGGCAGTACTTTCAATCACAGATATGTCAAATCAAATCCACACGAAGTTGAGAATGCAACATGGATGCTGACGGTATTGTTTTGCTTTATTCTTGTTTCTATTCTGGTTTTTGTCCTTTCCTTAATCCTTAGCAAAGAAGGGTTTTCTTAGTTATATGTTGAATGTGTGTGGGTACAATTATCTGCATAGTTCCCTTTAAATGCCATATTTGTGAAAATTGGACATCTGTCAATAAACAATCCTCGTCCACGTGTTGAAAATGTATCATGGATGCTGACGGTATTGTTTTGCTTTATCCTTGTTTCTATTCTGTTTTTTGTCCTTTCCTTAATCCTTAGCAAAGAAGGGTTTTCGTATTTATATGTAGAATGTGTGTGGATACAATCATCTGCACAGTACCATATTTGTGAAAATTGGACACCTTTCAATTAGCGATCCTTGTGAACAAAAATGTTCTTTTTGTAGTAGTTAAAAGGGACCTGTCATCAAAGTTTGACGTGGCATTCTAGGTTATTGTTGGGTTGAACTTTTGTTGTTTGATTCAATTGCAGAAACTTGCTTTTGGACATATAAAAGATTGCTCACTATTTTCTCCCCTGATTTTTAGGTCTTTAGCTGCTTTGGTCAGTATTTTTGTCTACATTTTGAAGCATTCCAGCTTGGGATGGCCCCTGTCTACATAGCATTCCTACGGTTTATGGGGGATGACAATGAGGCAAAGAACTATAGTTACAGTCTTGAAGTTGGTGGTGGTGGGAGGAAGATGATATGGCAAGGGGTACCAAGGAGCATAAGGGACAGCCACCGCAAGGTTCGAGACAGTTTTGATGGTCTGATCATTCAACGCAACATGGCCCTTTTCTTCTCTGGTGGAGATAGGAAGGAATTGAAGCTTAGGGTGACTGGTCGAATTTGGAAAGAACAGTGACAGGATATCCAATTTCTGTCACAACTTTCAATTTCAGTTAACCTTCACACCTAGTGACTGGTTTCTTCTTGTAGTAGTCCCATGATCTTCTGCTTATGTATTGTTTTGAATTGTAGGAGGCAAACCCTCTTTGCTTGTCTAGCCATCAATACATGAGTGGGAGGCACGACTCTTGTCCCTGCAGTTATAATATTTATCTATGTAGATTTAGATGTGCCACATTGCTCGCACGGACAATTAATGAATGATTGCATTGCTAGTAGATCCAAGAACTTTGGCGGCATTTTAATTAACACCGACTTCTTGAAAACTCATTAATAGTCATTGGCCATGTGAAAAGAGTGTCTAGGCATGCCCGATACTTGCAGAATGGCTGGAGCTGTTTTGCTCAAGTTCTCTCTCATGAGGGAGCATGGTAGGATACTGTGGTCTCCAGTCTCTTATTAGATAGAAATATTTGTGAAGCTTATTCAACATCTGGTGCTGTGAACACTGTTTTAGTACCATGGTCAGATCAGCTAAAACTGAATTTGCCAACCTGAAGACAAGTGGGGATATGGTGCTGGGATAGAGGCAGCGCAAGCATTCATGTGTACAAAAGCTGCATCTCTCTCAAAACAATGTCCTGCGTGATGGTAGCTTAATAGCATTGCCTTTTTTTATCCCTCTTGACGTACAAAATCCAGAAAGGGCTTAAAACCTTTTCATTGGAAATATCGGCGCAGTTGAGAAAGACTGAGCCACATTTCATGAAATTTTAATTTTTTTAGTTTACATTTATTTTATATATATTTAATTATTTTAATATATTAATGTCAAAAATAATTTTTTAAAAATAAAAAAAATATTATTTTGATATATTTCTAAATAAAAAAACACTTCGAAATCCCAAACATTCTGGTAATAAAACACTGGCAAAATTCAATCAAAACTTGGGCTGATCTGTTCATCAGCAAAAACCACATAAAAACAATATAAACCAAGGAAGTCAACCTAAATGCAATCTCATGTGCATTTTTCCAGGTATGCATCCCATCCTTGAAGACGGTATTCACGAGCTGCCTCTGCAGGATCTGCTGCCTTTATAATCCCACGTCCCACGATTATGATGTCACTGCCCCTATCGAAGATGACCTGAAACATCATTTATCCCACTACTATCAGAGCCATAATAATTCCCCTTTCAGTAAGAGTTCATAGCAAGTTTCAATAAAGCTAACATATTACATACTTCACTAATGCATGCCAACGAAATAGACATAATGAAAATGCACCAATCCAGCAATTTATGAAGGAAACAAAAAACAGTGAAACAGTCATTTGAACGTACAGAATATGGTGTGTTATACTGCTGGCCAAGCGCATCGCCACCAGTGACCATTTGAACTCCAGGTGTTGCCTGAATAAATGCTGGATTTACTGGTGCACCTGGCCATGAGGCTGGGTTTACCGAGATGAAGCCAATCACAAAATCAGAATGTTCTTCAGCAATTTTTACTGCTGCAGCAGTGTAATCTCCCTTGGCAAAGTTGCCGGCTGAACTCATTTCTGCAAGCAGCAAGAGGCCCCTCCCACGAGGCAAACCCTAAATAGAGTCCAAGAGTAAGCAAAAGTTAGATACTGCCAGGACTAATTCAGTAATATGATTCCCCAGATAAAAGTTGTGTGAGGCATACCTTCAATTTCAACCCGTCAACAATTCCAGGACCAGAAATAATGTGACAATTAACTATATCAGCCCAATCCAATATATGGAAGATACCACTGCAAATAACAGAGCAAAGAAATCTCAGACTACTGTAAAGATACCAGCAGAAAGGAAACCAGAAAAGTCACATAACACTGATGCTCACCCTTCATACTGCATGGTCACCGTGTTACCGATGTCAGCAAACTTACGATCTTCAAAAATTAAAAAGTTGTACTTATCTGCAATCTACAGGATGCAAAAGCACAATGAGCTACGAGGAAATAACAACTAATTTGCACCTAGAAGAAAACGGGAATAGTAGAAAAATGATGAGGAAAATACCATTCGGCTGCCAAGACATCTAACAAAAATTTAGTCATGTTATCAATACTTCTTCAACCTAATTACCAACCAAACCAAATTCCACAAGCATTCAAAAAATTAAGAACGTTTGTATATGCTAATTTTGTACTCTGGTATTTACAGATCATCAACAACTTCAGAAGATTCATTCTCATAATTACCAAACATATCAAGAACAGTCATAAAACAAGTCAATTCAAACTGCCCCTTGGCTAAGTTATCAGTGGAAAACATAATGAAATTTACAGCTCCCGCTTCATAACATGTAATTATCATTTTGCACCATCCAAAATGATAATTGGTGGTCAAAGGTTAGCATTGACATATCATCAACTGGAAAAACATAATGTAGCAGAATTTTCATGCTTCCAGAGAATCTGAAGAACTAAAACTCCATGCAAATAACTTTTATTATAACACCACAAAAACCTCATCAAAGCAGCAAACTTCAAAATACCAAGTTTAGAGACATACCGCACGAAGTTTTGCACCAAAATCAGGATTGAAATCAGGCAAAATATCGACATGGGTTTTCAACAAACATATCTCGGGTCCAACCTACACTCAAAAAATAAAATAAAATAAAATATATAGAAAACCATGTCAGCCAAACAAAAACAAACAAACATAGCACTCCAATCATCCCCAACCAACCCAATACCAATACACTCACTTTTTCAGCAAGCTCAAGCAATTCCTTAGCAGTACCAACATCAGCTGCAACACACAGATTACTCTCCTTTTTAACCATAACCTCAAACAACCTCTTCCCCATCTCATTCTTTGCTAATTTCGCCCTTTCCTCAAACCCTGAAACCTTAACCCTAACACTCTTATCCACCCCTTTAACAACACTAACCTTCCTATTCTCCTCCAAGAACTTCAAAACCCCCTTCTCCACTTCCTCCTCCAATTTCCCCTTCTCCCTCAAAACCCTAACCATCTCACTCAACTTAATAATCGAATGCAACTTAATCCCATTCTCCTCCAAATTCTCCCTCCCTCCTTGTTCCCTGTCAATCAAAACCACTGCATCCGTCACCTTCAACCCCGCAGCCATCAACGGCAAAGCCGTTTCAAGAACAGAAGTCCCACTCGTAACCAAATCTTCAACTATCAAACAAGTCTGGTCCTTTTGGAAATTTCCCTCGATAGACTTAGAGGTACCGTAATCTTTCACTTCTTTCCTGCGCATTACCATGGGGATGTCGTTCGAGACTGATACGGTGGTGGCGATTGGGAGAGCGGTGTAGGGGACGCCGCATATGAGGTCGAAAGTGGTAGTGGCAGGGATGGAGGTGATCAGGGTTTGGGAAATGTGGCGGAGGAGGGAGGGGTATGAAATTATGAGGCGGAGGTCGATGTAGATTGGAGAGGTTATACCGGATTTGAGCTTGAAGGAGCCAAATTTGACTGCCGAGATCTCGTGGAGTTGGAGAATTAGGGATTCCATGGAGGACATTTTGCGGTGGTGGCGATAACAGTAGTTGCGCCGAGAGAAGCGAGGGAAGGAGAGAGCAAGTGTCAGTGCTCAGTGGAAACGGAAGGGTTTATGGAAGGAATGAAAGTTATTGTCGTCCCTTTTCTTTTTTCTTTTTACGTGTTGCTCCCCAAGTTGTTTATTTAATTAGATATTTTTATGATGAGTGCTATTTTTTTATGACGAGTAATTATTTATCACAATATTTGTTTTTTATTTTTATTTTTCTTTTTCCTTTTATAATCGTAGTAATTGTTATGGACATCAATTTCTTTTTTAGGAAATTAGCAATAAGGGTCACAGCACCTTTTCTGCCTGAGGTTAGAGGTAATTTTTTGCTGGGTTTTAAATAAGTGTATATAAATAATACGAGAGAC